TGAAGTTTTAAGAAAATCCGTCATATTTTTTTTTTATTCAGTGACGAAATTTGTGACGGATTTTTAGAGACGGAATATATTCCGTCACAAAATCCGTCACAAAAGTCAATAAATTTTAGTCCGTCACAAAACTTAAAATTCCCTCACAAAATGCGTCACTATTAGCGATGCTATTTTTTCCGTCATAAAATTCGTCACAAATATTAATTTTTTCTAGTAGTGGTTCCTACCCTTTTCATTTTTATTTTTCCTCTTCTCTCTAGCGCATCTTCTTGCAAGCACCTCCGATTAGCAGCTCTTTCAACTGCTGCCTAATCTCCTCTCCCAACATGCTCAAGAATCGAGAGCCGCCCAGGGACTGCCGGAGGGAGCTTGCTTATAAAAAGAAGATAGGCCGGTCAAAACAACGCGCAACGGGCTCTCCGCTCACTATGTAGTGCTTTTCTGTCCTCCGGGGGACTCCACCAACACACACCAAGAGGTTCTTTCTCTCACGTAATTTCGCCCGCCCGTTCCACTTCCGTGCCAGAGGAAATGGGATTCGAACCCATGATACAATCTTCTTGTATGTCAATTTAGCAAACCAATGCCTTAAGCCACTCAGCCATACCTCCAAGTTGTTGATCGAAATTGGATGTGCGGTTGGTTGCCCGAAGGGCTATCTGATTTGATCAACTGCGTAAGCCGTAGCGCGCTAGCGCGCGTACCCTTCCTCTATGAGCGAGACTCCATCCAAATCTCCCACTCGTTAGGCGACGTCGTCTTTTCTATGAACACCCCACCACTGAATGATGAACTTTGCCAGTCTTCGCCTCCAACCTGACCGGGAGAGAACACAGAGTCAAGCCAATATTAAATAGACGGAAACTATTATTTAAAAGGATATAATTAACGAGGGTTAAATAGTAAATATTAAAACATTCTTAAAAAATACAAGTTCTGACAAAATTAACACATGTCATCCTTTATGTGGTCCTAGTCACAGAGAGTTTTGGTATCCCCTAAAATAAACTTGCACCAAAGGAAATGCCTTTAAAATTATCCATTTTATTTATTAAATACTAAGTTGCGGAACAAATGCAAACATTAATTCCAATAAAGTACAGAAATAATAATTCATCATCACAAAAAGAAAAAAAAAAAAAACATTTTCTCTAGGGGACATCATCACTTTACTTTGACTGTGTACACATATACATCTTGGCCTAGTGTCTGCATTGATCTCGCAAACACAAAACCACACTCTTATTTCCAGAACATACACACCTACAGCAAGAGAGGCAGAAAAAAGCATAATTTTATGGCCCCATTTTTATTACAATAAATTAACGTGGGTAGCTAGGTGCATGGGTTCACATGGTCTCGGTCCTGGATCCCTGAACCCTATCATTGGGCGTTGCCGTGAGCTCACTCTCTCTCCCATCCTCCCCGGAAATCTCCTCGAGAGACCTTCCCTTAGTCTCAGTAACCAAGAAAGAGCAACAAAAGCCCAACAAGTTGGTGAACGCCAGAATGATCATGGCCCTCCGAATCTTGTACAAGTCCCCTCCCACCGTCAAGCTCTGAATCCCAAACGTCCCCACCAGCGCCCCGGCCTTCCCCGCGGCGGCGCTCAGCGCATGGCACGTGCTCCTCACGCGCGTCGGAAACAGCTCCGCCGGCAGCACGAAGGTCGTGCTGTTGGGCCCGAAGTTGGCGAAGAAGAACGTCAACCCGTACAAGAGCGCGAACATGTTCTTGTTCTCGTTCTTCAAGTATTCGTACTTCACCCCAATCACGAACATGAAGAACGACATCATGAAGAACCCCACCAACTGGATCTTGTAGCGCCCGATCTTCTCGATGAAGAAGACGGTGAACCAGTATCCCGGGAACGTCCCCAGCAAGGCGATCACGAACATGGCACGTGACGTCTGGAAAACCTCGTCAATGGCGCTCATGTCAACCTCGTGAGCGATGAGACCAATGGCGGGGAAGATATCCTTCTGCGTGAGGTTCTGGCTGTAGAAGGCGATGTCCAGAAGGAACCACGAGCTCATGGTGCCAATCAAGTGACGACCGTGGCGCTGAAAGAACTCGTTGGACAAGAGAGGGTAGTTATTCGCTGCGTTGAAGTCCGCGAGCTTATCCTGCTCCGCTTGGATTTCAATGTCCAAAACCCTAGCCATGTCCGCCGCGGCTTGCTTGGCGTTTCCCTCGATGATGGCAGTGAAACGCCCCGTTTCGGGCATCTTCATCCGCCAGTAGTAGGTCATCATGGCGGGAATGGCGCCAACCATGAGGACCAACCGCCACAGCAGGTCACCCTCCGGTCGCGTCGACAAAACGTGGTTTTCGTTGAAGGTCGGAGCGGAGTAGTAATATTTGAAGATCGCCGAGAATATCATGGAGACCAACCCCGCGAAGATGATTCCCACGCCCTGCATGGCGAACACCGCGGCTATGAACGCGCCACGTGTCCTTTTATTGGCGTACTCCGACATGATGGTGGCGGAGAGCGGGTAGTCGCCGCCGATGCCGAAGCCCAGCCAGAAGCGGAAGAAGCAGAGGGTCCCCATGACGGACTTCGCGGTGGCGCCGAAGGAGAGGCCGGAGCAGATGGCGCAGAGGACCATCAGGATCAGCGTTATGCCGTACACCTTCTTCCGCCCCAGCTTGTCGCCGAGCCACCCGAACACGAGTTGCCCGGTTAGGGTTCCGACGAGGGCCACACCGGTGACGAAGTTGTTCACGTTGGTTGGGAGCTTCCCCGGTTTTCCGGTGCTGGGGTCGAAGTAGTACAAGCGACCCAATAGCTTGGAAACTGCTGAGATGCAGAAAAGGTCGTAGGCGTCGGTGAAGAAGCCCATGCCTGCGATCACTATCGCCGTCACGTGGTACCATTGCGTGCGTGCTGAGTCAAGTGCTTCCAGCACTTCCAACGCCATTGTTACTCACTCACTCACTGTTTCTTATTGCTTTTGCTTTTTCCCTTGTGTGTGTGGTGGGTTTATATGGTGTTGCTGGCGTTTACTCCTAGGCTTTGGTGTTAATTTGTTCGTGGGGATATTCTCCTTGCTCCTTGCGTTTATCAACTCAGAAGGATATGCTTATTGGGGATGTTAAATAATTCCACCAGCTTTTGGGTATGGGCTTTTGTTTTTTGCTGCTAGCCAGACAAGGGTTAATTAATAGCGAATGGGAAACTACTATGTACTTATTTACAATGCGACGCACACATGTTGGACAAACTACTATGTTATCAGCTTCTTGTTTACAATGTGCCCTTGATAAACACCCAAGAATGCTTCCGATTAATTCGTTTAAAAAATAATTTGTTAACTTAGGGAAGCATTATAAAATGTATAATGCTGTTAACGGTGGGATAAATGTGACGACAAAATACAGACAGGGAAAAATGGTCATAGGGATAATTGTAATATGGTAATAATGATTTTATAGGCGAGTGTGTTTTTTTATTTTAATTATTAATCTTTTTTATAATTTAAAGATTATAATTAATAGTTTTTACTTTTTATTTTAAGAAAATTTTCATTTGAAACATTTTATAAATAGAAGTGATTATTTTTATATGGGGAATCCTAATGTATTCCCACCTATTTTTTAATTGGAGTATGTTAATAATTTACACCAAAATTTTAGGATAAAAAAATCACTCATTTTTTTTATTTGGTTAATTTGTATAAAAGATATTATAGTAATTTAATTTAATTTTAAATAAAAAATATTTTCTCTCTCTTATTAACTTCTTTCTCTAAGTCATTTCTCTCTCTTATTAAATTCATTCTCCAACTCATTTTTCTTTCCTATTAAATTTTTTCTCTAACTTATTTATCTCTCTCCTATTAAATTTCTTCTTTAACTCATTTCTCTCTCATCTCTCATGATGTGTGTCCCCTCTCTCTTTGAACAAATAAAAATTAATTAATAGAAAAAATAAATAAATTAGAGAATGAAATTAATAAGAGGGAGAAAATATTTTATTTTTATTTAAAATTAAATTAAATTACTATAATATCTTTTGTACAAATTAACCAAATAAAAAAAAATGAGTGATTTTTTTGTCCTAAAATTTTGGTGTAGGTTGCTAACATACTCCCACTAAAATATAAGTGGGAGTATATTAGCATTCCCCTATATATATATATATATACAAGTTCATAGTGGAGTGGGATAAGATTAAATAGATTAACTAATTTTATCTATTTCTAATTTACAACATTTTTTTGAAAACTATAAAGAGAAAAACCTAGAACCATGAAAACTCACAACACTAAAATTAAATTTGGTTTTCAAAAATCTTAAAATTAACCGAAAACTATTCTGAAAAGGAACCTAAAATTCTATTGATCAATATAATACATAATTAAAAAACATAGTTATTCATATGGGACATAGTGGACATAGTTGCATAAATTTTTTACAAACTCACACATTAATTGTTTTGAGTAAAACTAATAGATTCAAACTACATCAATTTTAATCATGCATCTAAGCTCACCTTTGGGTGATAAATTCATTGTTTTCAATCTTGAAATTAAAACCTAAGTGGTTCAACTTTGCAACAAAAACTAAATTCCTAACAAATCTAGTTACATAGAGGCATCCTTCCAAATCTACACGACATCCCATATCAAAGATTAATTTGCATGTCTCAATGCCCTTTATTCACGCCTTCATTCTATTTCCCATATAAAGAAACTTTTCAATTCCTCTTATGGTTTGGATTGAAAGGAACCCTTGCATAACATGTGACACATGAGTAGTTGTTCTAGAACCAAGCCACCCAATATTATTAAGCACCTTGACAAGAGTTGATTCAAAATTTACAAATATATAAAATATATTTTTCTTTTCAAGCAGTCCTTCTTGAAGTGACAACTTTATTTATAAAAGTAGGACTTCTTTTCCTTACAGATTCTTTCATCTTTAATTTTTGATTGAAATTTGCCTTTGTTTTTTCTTACTTGGCTTGCTTTTGTAATTAGTATTAGCTCCATCATGAATCACGAGATAAATTAAGTTGTCCTGCATTTTCTTTAACCTCTTTTCTCCTTGAATTAATTAATATAGCCTTAATTTCTTAAAAATTCCATTTTTCCTTAAAAGTTCAAAATAAACTATGCTAGAAAAGACCCGCTTGCTTGCATTCCCATGGAATTTAACTTTATTGTTAGATTATACATTTTTGTCACGTGATCATGAATTGGATGAGACCAATCAAACTTTTTGCTTGTTAGTTCACTTGATAGATTCCTCACAATTGACTTGTCAATAATGTTAGATTGTGTGAGTAATCCTTGATCAATTTCATGAATTCCCATGTATTATCTATTTTGGCCAAGATGGCTTCACATTTACAACCATGGTCAATCTTATAAAGTTCAATGCCAATTTATTAGACCAGTCCGCCTTATAGAGGGACTTGTCAACATCAATACTAGTCTCTATAATAATTGGATGACTTTCATCCATTACCAATGTTAAGTCTAAGTTCACTACACCTAGTTGAAATTGAATCATTTCAGACCAATTAACATAGTTCATCAAACATATTGGACATAGTTGCATAAATTTTTTACAAACTCACACATTAATTGTTTTGAGTAAAACTAATAGATTCAAACTACATCAATTTTAATCATGCATCTAAGCTCACCTTTGGGTGATAAATAAATACATATCCACATGAATAATGATGTCAAACCAGTGATTTAAAACCCGGATCGAACCGGCCGGTCGGACCGGTTGGACCGGGAACCGGTGGTCCAGCC